AAGGGAGAAGAGACGAAGATAGGGTAGTAACGGTCGACTAATGTGGGAGCCACAACTATAGTACCTCCACTTTTATTGCGCTTATGTTGAGAAAAAGGTTGTCAAACTGGTTTATACTAGGGATGGGAAAAATATCCATAACTGTGGATATTCACCCGAATCCGACCTAATTGAGTAGGGTAAAACCCGAACCCAAATATTGCGGGTAATGGGTGGGCATGGTTATCTCACTATCCAACCCGAACCCGCCCGATTATACACATGCATATGTATTTTGTCTAGAAATAATCATTATGTTTCTCTAGAATATTTTATATTTAGCATATAAATATAATATTTTCATGAAATTATGTTGTTTTAATTAATTTTCGTCATTCTAGTGAATTATTGTCGTACTTTTTCTCTTACGTAATGTGAGTATACGTGTGAATGTTAACATATTGGTTGGAATTATAAGGAGAAATTATTACCCATGGATAACCGTGGATACCCGATACCCGAAACCCGAACGGGTATGGGCATGGTTTTGATTTTCTACCCGTTTCTCGTGTGGGTACGGGTATGGGTAAAACCCGAACTACATTGGGTAGGGTAACGGATATGCACTATCCGCCCCCAACCCGACCCATTGCCATCCCTAGTTTATACCAGTGTGCCGGTTTGCCAAGTGGAATGGTACGATCGGTGTTATAATCATTTTGTGCCGGTTAATGCCGGTTTAAAAAAATATGAAAATAATTAATATTCAATTTATTTAATCCATATATAAAACATATTTGTGGACAATTTAGTTACAATCCAACAAATATCATCAGCTTTTAACTATTAAATTCACAAAATCAATAATAAATTAATTTTGTTATTAATTAAATTCATTAAAATGATGTCATTTTACTTAGAATGCGTGTGTCGATCATACCGGTCATACCGGTGATGTCATGCCGGTTTTATAACCGATATAGGTTGAACCAGGTTCAACCGGGTGGCATGCCACCGGCATGACAACCATGGTTGAGAGTGATGTAATGTAATGCCTTTTTCCAAAAGAGCGACCATGGCTCATCGGCCTCTCATCTCTGCCATTTCATATCTGCATCCTCGCTCAGATTCATGATCATCCCTGGATATTCTTTCGCTTTCTTTTTGTTCTCTATCGCTTTAGCTTGCATTCATTGTTTCTTTGGTTTGGAACGTTGACGGGTTGGGATTTGATTTCCAACCCCTGCCCTGCCATTTATCTGCCTTCTCTGCTAATTTTTCCTAAATTCTCAGTTTTCTTTGGCGATGCTCTGTTTTTTTGAAAAAATCCAAAACTACCACTGTTTAAAAAAAAATTAAAAAAATACCACCCATTCCCAACAATTTCCAAAAAATACCATCGTTTATATAAAACCGTGCCTCTAATGAGCGGTTATCTTTGAAACTGTGCCTCCTGGCAGCGGTTTACAATATAACCGCGTTGCCAAGAGGCATTTTTAATTTTCAGCAAAAACCGCTTCTGGAAGCCACGGTTATATACTAACCCTACCACAAAACGCTTCAAGAGGGAGCGTTTAAATGTCGGCATGATAAACCGCCCCACCAGGCGGCGGTTTACCATGTCCAGACATAAATCGCTGCCCCAAGGCGCGGTTTGTGCCTGGTCACCCGACAACAAACATGTCGGCATGCAGAGGGTGGGGCTGCATGGCAGACCTAAAACCTCCCCCCCCCCCCCCCCCCCCCCCCCCTCCCCCCCGCGCGGTTTTGCTGCAAAATTTGCCTCTAAAAGGCCGTTTCAGAGAACTCAAATTCTTCACACTCCTCCTCTTCCTTCTTCAAATTTCAGTTTTGCACCTTTAAATTATTTAGTTTTTGCGATTAACGTTAATTCGTAAGTTTGTTTTGTTACTTTTCATTGTCCTTTGTGATTTTATGTTAGTAACTTAATTACTTTTCATTGTTCTTTGTGATTTTATGTTAGTAACTTAATTACTTTTTATTGTCTTTTGTGATTTTATGTTAGTAACTTAATTACTTTTCATTGTCCTTTGTGATTTTATGTTAGTAACTTGTATTACTTTTCATTGCAGATGGCATTCCAAAGGTTCACGCTTGGGTTGCGGTGGAATGGTTACACGGAATAGACCGAAAAGGGTGTAAGTTACGTCGGTGGCAATTTTTATAAAATGAAGGCCCGTACGAGACCGATGCTTGAAGAGCTCCATCAAATGTGCACTTAGATTACCTGCATGAATGGCACTAGAAGAGTTGATCAAATGGTGTATCGATATCCAAACAGACATGACGGGTCGCTGTGGAATGAGGAATTCCTCCTTACCACTCAGGAGGACGTTGATGCCATGGTCCAATTTTTGACCACCAATAAAATTAAGCAAGCGGAGATGTTCGTTTACACCGAGGCCGTCGAAGGCAGTGTAGGTCATTCTGGAGATGGCCAAACATCTAGTATCCACGGTGGGAGTGTATTATACAAAGATCATCCCCACCAGGATTTCCAAGACTCGAGCTGGAGTCAGGAGTATCATCATGGAACTGGAGGAAGTCATCAATCCTTCCCTTCATATGAAGAAGAAGCTCAACAGGCGGATCACAACCAACAAGCAGGCTACCAGTACCCACCCGAGTACAACTTCTATCAAAGCGGTGTTAGTTACCACAACTACCATTACGGAGCTGGTGAAGGTGAAGGTGTCTTTCATGATGATAATCAGATAGAAGAAGAGGTCAATCCAAGTCCAGTTAGTGACCCTGAGGTTGAAGAAGAGGAAGGCGAAGTTAGTGCAGACAGCTTCGATCCGCTGGAAGGTGCAGATGATTCCGGTCCAGATTCAGACGCAGATGGTGATGAGGTACCTCGCGACCGTGTACCTATTCCATACTACAATCACATTCAAAATGAAGATTGGTATGTTGATGCCGACATGGACCCGCCAGATGTGCCAGAATGGGGTCCACTCACTGGCTTTACAAAGGGCCAACAATTTGCAACGAAGAATGAGGTCCGACACGCTATTTCCACTGAAGCAATGACTCGGAGTTTTGAATGGCAAACAACCCATTCCGACACAAAGAGGCTGATGGTTCGATGCAAAAATGAAAATGAGGGATGCAAAGCTAGGGTCCGGGCATTATCTAATAAACATTAATATTAACATAACTAAAATAATTTTCGAAATTTAAGTATAATTATTTTTTGTACCAATACACATAAAATCAAATAAATTATTTTGTTAATCGTATTGATTATTTTCAATAATTTAAAGCAATACAAGTACAGTCGTAAGACTCTTAGGAGAGGTATACATCTCCTTAGAAACACAGTCTTTTTTACAGAAAAAGGAGGGATCTGAGGATCGCTTAGAACCCGATTTTCCCAGGTCATGGGGGGATCATGATGATCGCTTAAGTCCCCATTTCCTTAGACATGCATTTCTTTATAAAGAGTCTAAATAAGTGTTGTATTGTATTGATTTAAATTATTGAAAATAATCAATACGATTAACAATTAAGTAAATTATTGTACAAACAAATAAATTACTTTTACAAAATACAAATTACAAGTGATGATAAATAATATGTACCTTGTGGTCGTTCCAAACGTCTCTTGAACGATGATTAGCTTGATCGTATAAAACAGTCGGATCAATCGGTCCTTGATCAACATAATATCGTTGATTGTAAATATCAACATTCGGCCCAACCTACGATAGCATAACAACAACATAAATCAATTAGTATATAAATTAAATAAATCATTATAACAACAACAATTGGGTAAAATGAGTACGTACCGTTTGATAATCATCATAGAAAAGGCCCTCTTCTTGGATGAAATCGGCCATTTTTTCGGAATCCGGACAGAGGTTCGACGGTTTTTTAGTGAAAACCAAAGAAAAAGTTTTTTTGGAGGCAGATCGGACTTAGTCACAACCAACAAAATAACTAATTCTAAGGTTTTTGGGTGGGGTGGGTAGAGTGAGAAGTTAGAGGGAGAGAGGGGGGAATGGGTTTGGTGTGCAGAAAATGGGAGGGGGAAGGGGGGGTTTATATAGGGACAAAACCGCGTGAGGGAGGGACGGTTTCGTCCTTTTACCCCGCCTAAAACCGCGCCTCGGGGGAGCGGTTTGACTGAGCGACGCGGATCGTTGAGCTGGCGCGCGGTTTGGCCGTCAGATCGCTCCCCCATCGCGCGGTTTGATGCAACGCCACGTGGCCACGCGGTTTGACAGCCATGAAGAGTCAAACCGCGCCTTGGAGGCGCGTTTTGTGCATTATCCGCTGTCAGGAGGCGCGATTTCAATGTTAACCGCTCATTAGAGGCGCAGTTTTAAATAAACGATGGTATTTTGGAAATTATTGGGAATGAGTGGTATTTTTGTAAAATTTTTTTAAACAATGGTAGTTTTGGATTTTTTCCGTTTTTTGTGTACCTATGCATTGCACGCAGAAGAACCTAACATTTGGTTTTGTTACTTATGCCACTTCCACCCTATTAATGAGGAGTGAGAGATTTCTTTATAGCTTTTATGTTATGCGAGAGATAATTAAGAATGCAAAACTAAAGATGAAAAAAAGGTCTATTTTAGCTTAATAAATGGTAACCCATATCCGTATCTTTTTTATTTTAACCCGAAAGAGATGATGAAAGATGCAAAACAAAATACCAACATAGCAAGACAACTACTACTATTGGGCATGGGCAGGTGAAGAAATGGTTGTTATTCTGCAGACTTGCAGGGTAACTGAACTTTCACATGGTCACTGGGTTTAACAGGATACAAAATGTTCCAGCTCAATCCAGAATCGCTAAACAGCCATTACTGCTCGAGCAGATCATCGATTTCCTCAGCTAAGGGATACTTCTGACATGGTGTTTCATTAGGGGGGAAATCCCATACCTTACTCTGCATCTCCAGAATCAAAGGCCAAAAAGCCATGCTCTGTTCCCTATAACATGGGAATTTGGGAAATTAGTTTACCTTCACGTCGTAGTAATCTATAAGACAGAAATTTGATTAAACTAGTGAAGATTAACTAGCAGTTGTAAATACATTCACGAAAGCTAGAATGCTTCTTTTATCAATTACAAAATTACTCTGCTACTTATTTATCCTCTTTTGGCATATAAAGCCCCAGCTGTTTAAATAATAAACATCACTTAGTATTTTACATGCACAACAACCTCAGCCTCTGGCCTGGAGGAGGGCCATTCTCCACCAGCAGAAGTGGGAAAAAGGCCAGTGATTGAAGCTGTTGCCAAAGTAAGTAAGCTTCTAAAACCATGGCATCAGCTAAGCTACAGCTTTCACCTCGTCGGTTTGTGGAAATAGACGGCCATTGTTCCGTCTGTGGCAACAGATGGCCATTGTTCCGTCAAAGTTTCAATGACGGACCATAATCAGGATACAGAAATGGCTTACTTATCTCCTTCGTTGTGGGGTTTGAGCATGGGCCTTTTGCTATTACTCACCTTTCAATTACCCTTCTTTTGTTTCTATACTCACCATCGTCCATCGAACCTTTATCCATCATCCCATAGTCACCAGATCTCGACTGCTGGAAACTCCGGTTTCCTCCTTGTCTTGCCCCTCTACCTCTGCCAAAATCCTCACCTCCACCTCTACCTCCATCACTCTTCCTCCACCCACCTCCATTTCCTCTTGCTCTACCACGTGAGCCATGGAACGATGATGATCTAGGTTGATCAAAGTCATCATCCCATGACGACTTCCTTCTCCCGCCACCCATCCGCTTTGATCTTCCACCTCTGCCGCCTGTGTAGTCATCATCATCGTCACCTCGTCTCTGAAATCCACCTCTAGTGGAGTTCCGTCCCTTTGTTCTCATCTTTCGGCCGCCAAATTCCTCGTCAGAGTCATCATCAGAGTCAAGATCAAGGTCATCATCATCCGAGCCAAAACTCAGTTTTTTAGTTGGACTCCTACCTCGATTTTTGTGTCCAGACGCAACGTGACTGGATTTCCATTTCGAATGAGATGAAAGCTCTTCATCTGAGTCACACCCTAGCTCATCATCATCAGCAAAAGGTTTCCTTCTTCCCGGCTTGGTGGGTCTCGAATCCCTCAATGGTCTAGAATGAGGTCGAGAATCCAAGTCATCATCCGAAAGGTCAATGTCTTCAGACTCATAAGGCTGTCTGGAAGCATTGCTATGAGTTGCCCGAGTGGGGGTGGTATCCAACTCATAGCTCTCGATATCATCTTCATCGTCAAAATCGTCAAACCCTGTTCCGGATCTACTCGGTTGTGAATCTGAATACTTGCTTGGATTTCTGGTACCCATTTCACGGTCTCTGAAGTTTCCTCCCTGAGCTGGAGCAGCAGATATAGGAGGTTCGTGATCTTTCAATGCTGAGTCTGCATTCTCAAAAGCAGCAACATCTGCACCATCTGACTCGTCGTCATCAAAATCGAAGTTCCAGGCATTTGACACTTCAGGACGGGTTGCAACCTTCTCGAACCTTGTTTTTTGGTCACGATTCCTTTCCTCCATTCTACTCTCCAAGAAATCATCATGTGGCCGCTTGCAATCACAATGAAAGCATACCATGTTTCTCCTATAGTTTAAGAAGTTACACCTGCCATGAACGAAACAGAAAGAGAATCACCAGTTAGCATAATAAAGCATGACGAGACAAAGATTAGCAGTATGCTATGTTTCAGCTAAGAAAAAACTAAAACACTCTTCTTCACTAAAACCTTTTAGAACTATCATGGTGAACTACACAGACTCATAGTAGCTAAAAGTCACATCACTATTGCCCCATTAATTATCTTTCCTTTTACAGTTTTACTAGAACTTGATTTTATTTCCTCAAATTTATATAAAAACCTGAACAGAACACACCCTAAATCTGAGCAATGGAGATAGAAAACTTACTGAGCGCATTCCCATTCTCCTGGAAGCAACTGTCTCTTTGGCCTTTTGGCGTCACACTGTAAACAAGCCGTGTTCTTTGCGAAATTCATGAAGTCACACCTGCAGAAACAAAGAAAACCACATATCCAGCATTCTCAGCAGCAAGTAAAAGCGAAACTGGAAACCACATCTATCTGTACATGACTTGATACTAATATCATAAAATAGTGACATACTTAGGGCAAAGCCAATCGCCTTTTTTCATCTCGATATCATCACGTCCAACTCGTTTCTTCGGCGGCGGCGGAGGCTGCTTCACCTTGGGAGGAGGTTTCTTGATCACAGGAGGAGGGAGATTCGGATCGATAGGCACAGCACTCAGCTTTACAATCTCGTGAAGTAGCTTCCGGACCACAGTTTTGACCGATTTTTCTTTCAGAATCGACTTATTGGTGACTGATCCATTTGTCGGATCGAATCCGTAAGCTAAGAGAACCCGCATTGCATCGATGGTATGCGCTTCCTCCTCTTTATTTGTCAGCAGAAATGCTTTCTCACACGAGCTCCTCAAGCTGCAGCTACTACAAACCTGATGCACATATGAAAAGTTCAAACTTTTTAACTTGTGCCTTGAAACCAAACATTTTTCTCTTCTCCTCCTCAAAAACTATTTACAGGTAAATCTATATATTCACAAGTGACTAACTCACATCGCCTTCATCGAGGTGGACACGCTTCCTCAGGAGTTTGGCAGACATAACAACCCTTCTGTCTGCAGTTGGGCATCCATAGCCAACCAAGAGCTGGAGATCCTTTCTCGGCAATGACCTAAAGATTAATCAATATACAATCATAGTCCAAACCAAATGAGACTGATATAACAACTCTTCTTCAGATTGTGCTATGATAGACAATATTTCAGACAACACCATAAGCTGTAGCTACTCGTTTAGGATAATGGGATGACGATTTCGATTGAACACTCTTGTTGCAGCAATGTCCTGAACTGAGAGCACCACAAGACGGGTCGTGAAGGTCTTTCTTCTGCACTGCTCCATCCCATTGCACTTCTTTCTAAACATTCATCCCATCTTAATTCTCTATAATACTACTGAGTGCAAGCCTCAATGTTTCAAATAGTTTGGCTTCATTAGCCTTTGTCATTCTCTCCTCTTTTTTCTAGTTTGTTTAGAAAGTGTTCACGAAATCGAATCGCTGTGTATATTTTTCTCGGAATGACTTGTCGCAAACAGATCGACCTGCCGCCAGACTCATGCTTCCAAACAAAATGAGCGGCGGAACCAGTATTGACCTACTCAACAGCACCCTGTTTAGCCCCATTGTCATTCCTAATTACAGCCCTAAGCATATCCGCTTCCTAAATCATCATAATCATCTATGTGGATATAATCAATGGTAAGGAAAAACGTCACCAGACTGAAACCAAAACAACAAAATGGAGCAGAAACTAACCTCAAGATATCGAATCTGTCTTTGCCAAAATTGACAAAAGCATTCTGCACGGTCCTAAAATCTTTAGCGAAATCAACTTCTATCTGATTTTTCTCAACAGCTGCATTCACATCTTCAAACCCATCATCAATCCCCAAACTCTCAACCATCTGGTCCTCTTCTTTACTTCTCTTATGATCGAAGTAATTCTGCTGAACCAGTCTCTCCATCAACTCTATCCATTCCGGCCACGGATGAACAAGCTCCACTTGCCTCCTCGCCTTCCCCAGCTCAACACCCGACCCGGAACTGCTCCCATCAAAACCGTACCCAGCATCGGATTCTTCATCCCGCGAGGAGCTAAAAGTCGTTACTACCACTTCAGGCTTCCGGGAACTGGGCTCTTCTCTCCGTTCCTGATTCTGCGGCTGCTGGTTGACAGTTTTGGATTGGCGCCAAGCTCGAATCTTTTGCAGAGTTTCGTGCTTCTCGGAGCGTTCGCGCTCAATGGCGTCGATTTGATCGAAGACGAAGCTCATGCGGGCGGAAAGGGAAGAGGGTTTTGGAGGGTCGGGAGAGGAGGCGGCGGCGGAAGAAGTGGAATAGGGTATAAGGGTGGAAGGCGAGGAAGAGAGGCGGGCGAAGCTGTAGGGTTTAAGGCGTCTCCATAAGAGGAGGCGAACTTGGGTTCTCGCCATTATTTTTGCCCGGGAGAACGGCACGGCGGAGGAAAGGAGAAAGGCTATAATTTGGGTATAATACTTCTTCGCAGGTAGACAGACAATGGAGTTTTCAGAGTGCCTCCCAGTTCTGAATTCACGGCGTGAAGTTCAGTTCAGACGGCTCCAACAGTCCAACTAAGGAGAATAGAATAGTATACTTTCTTTTTCCGCCGGAGCTAACTTCGGAGACTACTAAACGGAAAGTTGCAGAGGAAAGCATCAGACCAAGTCCAGTTACTTTGGGCCAGCCCAAAAGGATTATATGAGTCCAGGCCTTCTTTCCGATAAGCCCACAGATAGAAAATGAAAACCATCCATAGTTCAACGTATATAGCTTTCAAGTATTAGGGTTGTATCGAGAGCTCAAGATAGGGTGAGTAACCTTAGGGTGAGTAACAATGAGTAACCAAATCTGAATTCTTCTTTTAAATAACTGCAGATCTAAGGGTGGAGAATTAAAGAAATTTATTCTCCCCAGTTTTCTTAATTGAATCATATCTTCTTCATTCTAACTCGGATTTAATTTTTTTTTTTTTTTTGCACAGATGGAACGAGTTCGTTGCGCTCTACAAAATGATATCCAATTTCAATATTTTTTGAGAAATTTTTTTTTATCCCTCTCATTACCAACTCCATACCATATGGTATCTCTTTCGTTGTTTAGTCATTTTTGGAAATTTTTGCACAAAAGGAACGATTTAATCATGATCTATTGGATTTCAAAATTTTTTGGGGGAAAATTTTTCAAATCTCTCGTTACCAACTCCATACCATACTATACCACCCTTGTATGCGGTGATATTTTTCATACCATATAGTATGCTGTTATTTAATACCATATGGTATTGACAGGTATTAAATAACAACATATGGTGTTGATTGGTTATTTCATACCATATGGTATGCTGTTATTTAATACTAGTCAATACCATATGGTATAGTCAATACCATATAGTATAGACTGGTAATAATTGACAAATTTTTTTTTTTTTTGTTCCAAAAATATCAAAGTGGATATAATTTTGAAGAGCACAATTAATCTGATCTAACTATGCAAAAAAAAAAAATCCGAATTAAAACGAGTGAGAAATCGTCTGTTAAAGATTAAGGGAAAGAAAATCAATGATTTTTCCAAGAGAAAGAAAGAGGCGCTGATGTGGCAAATTCTTATTGGATTATGCATGGGTTTACTCACCACAAGGTTACTCACGGATCTACTCCCCGAGACCAAACATATGATTCTTTCTTCCTTTCTTTTTCGTAACATAATAATAATCTTTACATGTAGTCATCACTTGTAACTAGACTTTGACTTTTGCATAGCATTTACATGTACCCTTCGGGAACCAAACATATGATTCTTTCAGAGTGTTGTGTTGTGTTGTGTTGTCAAAACCACTCAACCATACACTTGGGATACAGACCTTTCTCTGCTGCAATGGCGGAGAGTCCCATAAGCTCCTTCTGAACTTTCCTCCTCTCGTAGAACACAGAACACGCCAGAGATGTGCACTTAACCCCAGTCTCCACTACCCAATCCCCTCCGCCACAATGCCGGCATATCTGCATCGATGATAAACCAACCTAGTACTAGTCATTGCTTTGATCTGTAACTTCAGATACAAGTAACTTGAATTTAAAGTGAAAACACGCAAGAAAGCCAATCTGATCCTTAATAGTTTCTCACTGGCAGTACATGAACGCTTATTATTATTTATCTTGGTCCACAAGGTTTCTCTATATGGAGCATCCCTATTAGGGTTGATAGACACTGTACATGATCGACCGTAGCCGACGCCATTTCCAAAATAGAAACATATATGAAGACTAGTTATGCAATGTCCAGTCAACCGGTCCTTAGGCAGAATGATCGATATATACAAGTCTTTGTACTTGGATGACCACAAAATAACAGTTCACGTAAAGAATTGGCCCCGACTTAGAGCTTACCTACCAAAGTGATATATCTTGTAAATTTGTAATGAAAACTAGCTCAAAACCTCAAAAGAATTCTGGATTTAAGAGTCGTTTGAAGAGAACTCACAGCAGCAAGGTGATGCATCTCTCGTTCCAGCTTTGAAGTCCTCCCAACGACAGCAGTCGTCGCAGCAGCTTCATCCTGCATACACTTCCCACACACGTGTGCTGATGAACGAACCAAATCCCCGCAGATCAAGCAATGCTGGGACAGATAATAATAGTCGATCCTGGTCCTGTGCGGGTTACTGCTTGAACCAAAAACTGGTCGCTTGGTTGAGGCTTCCCTAGCCGGACGAGGCATCTCGGCAAACCACCGGTTCAAATCTGCGCCAACCAGCCCGAACACCCTCTGCAAGGCCGGGATGATCTGCTTCGTAATGTAGTAAATGTCGTTCAGTCGGTAGGGGGAGCCAAGAGCCAGGAGGTCAAGTGGGTCAACCACCATGTCAACCAGGCGACCACCCGGCTGGCCATGAATCACGACATAAGGGACCCGCTCAGCATAGCGTGGCTCGGCTCTTGGGTCCGACCTCATTGCCTTGGTGGCTACTATGGCTGCGGGTGGAAGGGAGGAAGAAGGTCGAGTACTGTACGAGCCTAATCGGACCTCTTTGGCGAAGATGAAGTCTTGGAGGGAGACTCTGCCAGAGAGGATACGGGTCCATTGACGATATAGATATACTTTAACCTGCATATAAATGGAGAGTTGAAACTAATTCAGAAAGGAAGACTTAAAACTGCTGAGTTGAGTAACAGATGCTGCAAGGTCTTCAGAATCAACAGTGTATTGAAGGATCATTTGCAGCCTGTGATGTTGTTTTAATATGTGTAATTGAGGAATGCGTGGAACTAATGGATTTGATATAAATGGATTGAACAGATGGAAAACAGGTTCCAGACGGTCACAACATTCAGACAGTCCACTCAATCAACCAATGTATGTGATCCACACATTTCAAATGCATGCCTGCCCACGCTCTAACAATCAGTGGTTTGAACGAGCCTTATCTGATGCATGTATTTCGGGTCATCTTGTGATGCATTGTACTGTCCAAAAATGCATTCATCTTTCAGAAGACGCCATTGAAACGAGAGGATTCAAAAAGACACCTATGTTCCTTTATCTGAATCTGAAATGGAACCTCAGAGGGTAAAATAGAGTAGCGAGAGTACATGACCTTAGATATGTCTTGGTGCTCAAAGAAGTGCCTAATGGATCGCTCCATGAGCTTGGAAACAGCTGCACATGAGTCTCTTCGAACTGTTTCAATCCCTTTTGCATCAAAGATCGGCTCGCTCTGGTCGGGTCTCTCATAGCTGTATCCGACGTAGCGCTTCTTGGTGAGAAGGAAGCAAGGGTGATATACTTTCTCCATTTTTAAGGTTACTGGGTATGGGTTTATAGCACTCACGGCCGCTGCTATCTCATTCCCAATCCGGAATGCCTCTGGGACTGTTCGTCCCTTGAGAAGAACGAACATGCTGCAGCGGAAATGGACATTAATACAAGGTGGACAAAATGCAAAGTGAGCAAATTTTGGATGGATGAGAAAGGAACAGAACTCGTAGCAAAATGTGCAATATATTATGAGATAAATAACTGGACACCTAAAATCCATGTATATATCCAGTAATTATGCGACTGGCAAAGGAGTAATACTGAAGCAGTCTAAGAAGCTCACACGCAAAGAGATATGAATTTAAGACAAGCTAGATCAAATTCGCCGTAGCTTGCAAGAAGTGCACTCTAATCCTTTCCTATATTCATGCCAATTCAGGATGAAGCAAGTTACCTGTCAGTATCACCATATACGACTCTAGCCTTCCAATTATCATTTGCATTTACTAATGCAATAGCCTTTTCCAGAGTGCTACGGCCACACTGGACAATGCTGTCGGCAAGCTCGGCACAAGGCATGCGACCACTAAATCCAGCAGCTGTGTAACCATATGTTACGTTTGCTATCAACTTGAGAGCAAGTTGTCTTGCATTAAATATCTGGAGAAAAAGTATGCAGATTGGAAAGTCAATGATTACTTTCAAGCACATGTAAGAGGTGACAAATGCCACCAAAACCCAGGTCAAAACCCGTTTGACCTGAGCTATCTCTTTGCTTGTGAATATTTTAGATGGGTTTCCGAGCAATTATCATATAGTACCTATAGTATTATTATCAAGGGAGTGCCATTCCCAGGGCAGCATGATCCCATTTTAACCGACCCCATGAACCCGCAAAGCCATTTTAACCAAACCATTTGTCACCTCTACGACCTGATGAAATCATCCATTCCAAAGTCCCTAATCAGGGATTTGTCTATACAAATTAGACTGTTAGGACAGGGAGTGCCTATATAACTATGCTGTCTCCTTCCTGTCTATTCTAGACTCCAGTAACTCTTCAGAACTGTAAACTTTGAAGGTGTCACTGCTTCAGAGAGAAGACACCAAATAACATCTTAAAACGTGAGAGCAGAAATATTCATTAGTCAAAGTATAAACATACCCTGTGAAGGATTTGTTGATTGGGACCCAACTTCTTCATCGCTTTCTTCACCATTATCCTGGTTGATAGTATTTCCTCTAATAACCGGGGTAATATTCCTTTCCGAACCTGGTAAAGAGAAAGTATCATACTTTCATATTTTCACTATTCGATTTTGCAGAAAGCAACAGCATAAACTAGGTATATCCAAATATACTACCTCTGAAGGTGCATACATAACACTATTAGGAGTACAAAGCAGTTGATTCACCAAATTCTGAAAAATCTCTGGATCTGGTGAAAATGAAGTGACCCCCAGGGTATCTGCCTTCGAAGGCTCGGCATTTCCAAGACACGTACAGAAGCAAAGGTTATAAGCAATTATCATGGATGGATAAAGAGATTGGAAGTCTAAGACCACCACTGGATCTGCATAAAACCCTGATTCTGGTTCCATTACAAGAGGGAGACACTCCATGGCTGGTTGAGAAGCAACCTGTGAGCACATAATAAATTCCTTCAGGCTGCCATGGCTTGGCAGATAAAAGCAAGGAGAGAGAATTCGAGGCCACAAAACAAACAAAGCGGAGCTTTAAAATCTCTGCTGAACAGGAAAAAGTAAAGAATGACTCTTCGGAATACAAAAGAAAACAAATAGCAACTATCAGAAACAACCTGCTGACTCCCAGGAGAAATGGCAATATAATTTTGTGTATGAGCCAATCTGAGGAGCATGGACTCAACACGGTACTGTGAACCACGAGAGAGGACAGAAAAGAAGTCAATGCCAAAAACACGTGCAAGTTCTGAGGTCCGATTCACCTGAAATAAGTGCAGCAAAGTCAAGGGGCCGGAAGAAGCACAAATAGCATCACTGGCTGGAAATAATATATCTTCAAGTCCAAAAATTAAATCAGGTTATGATAAGCTTACTACAGAAACAGACAGGACCCTCAAGATCTTAAATGTTCACGACATATGATTCACATTTGGTTTGGAAAGACTGAGCGGTTGAAACAACAAAAGGAGGTGATTCCCAAAAAAATCGAAGGCGGGAAAAGGAAGCAAAAGGACATAACATTACAGGAAAGAAATCAGCTTCTCAGAGGCTTTTGTCATTGAAGAACCGTTGATTGGAAAGCAAAACTATAAACTATAGAAACAAAACAGACACACATAAAGTATACAAGTCTTAACTTCAGGAAAGTTGGAGAAACAAAAATTTCCTTTTCCACCTACATAGGCAGCCCATATCATCATCTTTTTAAAGATGATACTTTTTTCTGTTTTAGATGAAGCTTTTAAATATGATAGTAAGACTCCTAACTAACGTACCATATCAAGTTGTTCCACAATCTCGAAATTCAAGTTTGCTCTCTGCATCACAAACTCAATGCATCTATACCTTCCTCCACCGGGGCCACTAGCAAACCATCTAGTCAGTACTCTAAATGAGATAGAAGGAGTCTTCCGCCTCAAAACAGCTTCACTTACAGCTTCAATCGTGTACATATTGAGCTTGACCTCACTCCGTACCAGTCGCCATACATTAAGTACAATCCTACCAACAACATGGACACCACTGGCATGTGTCCGGCCCCACTCATCCTCAATTACTGCATCTCCCATCAATTCATTGTCTGCAGTTGAAGATTCGTGGAGTGCAATATCCATAAGACCTTTATTAGCAGCTTCAGTATCTGCATCTTGCTCTGTTTGAAATGGTGTGCGAGAAATGCTCTTAAGAAAACCCAGACCAAGATGTGCAGCCCGCTCAGCCAAAAAACCAATAGAACCACTTTGAATATCCCATCCCATAAGAACATCAGGGTCAAACATACGGACAAGATTAATAAGTTGATTAAATAAAAGCTTCTCTTCAAAGAACACTAGGACCTTATGAGCAGGTATTCCAACAGAATGCCTGCAATATAAGATACAAACGAGACATGAGAAGAACTATTTGGTGCAGAATACTAGTTGAAGAAACTTACTAGAAGGGGTTTAACTAGATAATCCATATTAGTTTCTCTCCAAAGTCAACCAACTGGATTCAAATGTGATGACATTCTGCGCAAGAGCTTACTCGACAGCTCAGTAAAGAATATGTAAAGCCATCATAAATCTTCATCAGACATAGAACTTTCATTCCTACTCCACATTCAATCATAAAATGCCAAAATAGTTCCATTTCTTTCTTCGATTTCCATCAGCCCCTTGATAAATGTCAACATTACTGAATGGAAATATTCAACTTTCCAGCACAGAGCATAAACATAAATTCATACCCCTGGGACGATTCACAATCACTACGTAGAAGCACGTAAACTTCCGAAGCACAGTCATTGTCATCCTGAAAGGCAAGCACTACTATATTCACTGCATCAAACCGAGGATCTGGCCTGAGATCTCCCCTGGATTCAGCCTGAACCTGTAATCCGATAGTAATTCTTATCAAGCTCTTGCTTCGATGCAGTTAGAGACTAGATGGTGTTACTACAAGTTATCACCAAATACATGAGGTGAAATCAACTGCAACATCAAACACTACGGTTTTTGTCTTGTCAAAATCAAGTCAAACACTACATAGGTGTTCTAACGAGGTCAAAGAGGAGAGAGATAAAAGTGCAAAAATTATACAATGTTGTTGTACCTCCAGACTTAATAATGTCAGCTGTTGTCCAGCACCAATACTAGCAGGATCCCGAAATCCAATTTGACTGAGAGGAGTAGGTCCTGCTCCACCATCTGGTCCAGATATTTGAGATGCATCACGCATGTTTCCTTCACTCTGAGATAACTGTTGAAGCTTCTCTTGATGGGGAAGACATTCAATATCAAGGTTCTCGGTTGTTTCTTCGCGTATTTGAGCGGGTGAGGAGGTTGAATTAGATGAAGATTTAGATTGAATCAGAAGCTCATTAGCATCAACAGCTGAAATGGCTTTTGGACTATTCTCGGAAAAGCCTGCAAAACAAGTAGAGATTAGGGAGAAGTAAATAGAAAAACACTTTGTTGAAGGTGGGGTGATTTTTAGCAGACTATCTGGAATTGGAACTTAGTTATTTAGATGAAACAATTGGAAGTATCCTCACATGCTTGTGCAGAAACTAATGCAAATACTAAAACTAGGCCATACCTGCGCTCTTACACATCAACCATCGACAAACAACATCTGGGGAAGGTGGTGAAAAGACAGGTGTTAAAAGATACAAGATTGAGCCATCATTCTGAAAGTGAGCTGGGACGCCTACTGCAGCTTCTTGATCAACATCCTTATCCCTATGAGACTGATCTCCTGTCGTGTTCTGATGACTATTTTCAAAGAAAGGAAGAAGTTCATCCACTGCACTCACACATGGAAGGGAAAAAAGAAAGCACAGTTACTTGTAACTCAATACAAACAAATTCCTTGACAAGCCAGTCACCGCCTAAGACAATGATCAGAGAGAGAAAAGGCTACAAAAATTCATCCCACTCCCACATGGGAAATGATTTTTACATAAATTCCAACAGCACCTTTCAACCTTCCATCCAAAATAATATGAACTGGTTCTGAAGCAATATATGCAAATGTGGAGTAAAAAATTCCACCGGGTAAATGAGTATGCAAACCTGATATCCCATCTTTTTTCTCCTTGACAATAGAAGGAGCACCAGATAAAGCAAGCGAGAACGAAGCAATTTCCAATGGTCCATCCTTCCAGTCAGGTACAGGAGGTTTCTTGCGAACTGTCATTCTATATAAGTCTGTAGGCTTTGTTTCAATGTTAAGAGCTGTGAATGCTGAGCTGCCATGAGCAGAAACACCGAAATTTCCACGTTTTGAGCGAGCAGAACAAACTGCCTCGGACAAGAAGCATGTTGTATCTGCCAACTTTTCCTTCGAAATTACCTTGTCAGCACATTGTTCAAACGAATTTCCCATTGGTGTTCCACCTTTCGTTGGGCCTGCATCCTTAGACTCAATAGGAGAAACCCGCAGACAACTTGAACCAACAGCCTTAGCCTTCATTTGGTTTGGTCTCTGATTAGACGGAGTTGTATCCTTATTCAGCCACTTAGCAGATGAAACAGTTATGGAATTGAAGAGCTCAGAAGCTATGACTTCTGAGGTCTCACCTCTGCACTTATACTTTTCACAGTTCTTAGTTTCGGATTGAAACTGGAAACCTGTTGGAACCTGCTTGACGCTGTTGGAAGCATGTTGCATACTGGGGCTGTCTGAATCTACTACTATAGGATTTCCAATATCCGGCTGGCTATTCTCTAGTTTTTTTGGAACCAGCAAACTAGCATCCAGACGCCTAACAGAACTATTATTGTGTTCTTCATTTTCATTGGGCTGTATATGCGAATCCAATTGTTTAGTCAAAGGTGTGCCAACTCCTTCATGTACTCTTTCCAGAAAGCCTTCACCGATCCCTAAGAGTGGACACTTCTGTAGGGCATTTTGATTGGAGCGCTTCTTTCGCATCAGGTCCCGCACTGAGCATTCGTCCAATGCCTGTGCTTGGACATTAGCTTCTGAATTCCGTAAAGAAACGTCAGAACATCTTCTTAGAGCCTTTTCAGGTTTATTATCACCACCAGACAGATCAGATATGCTATGTATTTTAGAGATGTCACTTGAAGTTTTAGTAACTGAGAACGGCAGAGTGCCCCATAAAGACTTCTTCCTTTTATTCGTCAAACTGGAGTGGCTAATCTGCAATTCCTTGCGCCCGGAGTATGTTTCAGATGCTCCTCTTTTCTGTGTCTTAGATGACAGTTTAGATGGTGCAGAAGCAGGTGAATGCAAAGCATTAACCTTGGACATCTTTTCTTCCGATGAGGAGCAACGGTTATGCTCCAACGAATAAGGAAGTTTCACCTTTGACTCATCACATTTAACAAAATCCTCAATGGAATCAAGAATATCCTGACACTCTCTCTGGGACTCGCTCTCATAATCCGTACTCGCTCTTTCTAGCACCTTATCAATGTTTGTTGTAGGCAAAAGAGGACTCAGAATGGTCTCACGAACAAGTTCATCATCAGAGTTTATCTCTTCAGCAGCCTGTGATGTGGCAAGCCACTTCAGCAGGCCCAGAGCTTCTGTATCTGAAACCTGGGAAAGAAATAGCCCCTGACATGGTTGCAAAACAGACTTCTATTATATCTACTTCGTTTCAGGCTGGAAAATAGAACTCAGTAAACCAGGCACGGCGACTAAACAAAATCAAATGAAATTCTGCAGGAAGCGATTATCATAAAGAGCAAGCTCACCCCAGGTTCGAGGCAGTTTACTTCTAGTGATTGCTCATTGTTGGCTGATAGTGGTCGGCATCCATACTTTCTTTCTGTGGGTGTTTGGCAGAGTTCTTCTAGACACTTTGAATCTTGCGGAGATAACAGTTTGACGCTTTCTTGGGTAATGCCAAGCTTGGAATTATCATCCACAGTATCATGGCCATCCGAGTTACCAAGTTCAACCATTTTTTCTTCGTTCATAGAAACTGTCTCCAAAGGAAGATCTTCCACAGTATTCTTGACCAACATTTTGTTGTCTTGAGCTTTACATGCCAACTTCTCCAATCTTTTGTTAAGCTTATGTGATAGTGCATTTAAAACATCTCTCGGAAGTGGTTTTCCAGGATCAGGAGGCATAGCTACCTCACCCGTGCCAGTTCTTTCATATTCTTCCTGTAATGAGCATACAGTGCATAAAACAGCTGGCATATATGAAACACGACCTAGGGTTGCGAAGAACAAGATTGATACAAAACAAACCTCCCAGATAGGTATGAGTGACTGAACCATTTTCACTTCTGAACCTGATTGTGATAAGGATGTATATAACTTGAATTGCTGATTAAGAATATCTGCAGGTTGTCAAAATGTTCAGTGTTTATATATGAACACAACTTCTCATTCTAAATAACAGAGGTGAGGAGATAACCATCAACACTAGTATCTGCTTCCAGCGCACAAACAGTTTGTCTTTTGACATGGTGAGTATACAGATCAGATGGAGTGCCAAATTCATTGGAAAGCTGCCATATCCAATCACCAGGGATCGTGGACGATATCCAAACTGGAGAATCCAAATGCTGACTATTTTTCAAGTCTGTCTAGTGAATATATGACCAAGATCAAAGCAGTATGAGTGGGAATGACAAATACTGATGTTCATTGCACAAGAGAATATCCCAGTGAAAAATGGACACATACCTGACTATCACGTAATGCAGTTATAGTTTCTTCCGTCTCAATGCTGGCTTGAGAAATGTGATTAGATTTTCTTTTACTGAAAGCATCTGGAACCGGATGACGAAACTTCACTTTTGATACATGCACATGCCCCATTCCATATAAATTACAGTCAACCTACATTGAGTGTATAATTCTCAATGAGTTTACAGCTAACGAACAAGTTCTATTCATGCCACATGTAGATTTCGAACCCAATACAATCATCAACCTATGGCAGAACTTTCTTAACAACAATTCAGCAGTAAGTTCTATCCATTGGCACCAAGAACTAAGGATCAATATAAACCAACAGTTTTGCCTGGAAACCTAGAATCAGAGCACCACCATCAACCACAAGCGCTATATAAGAGTCAGATCAGTTCAATAGTGGGGGTCAAATTCTTCAATTATTAACTACTATTGTGAAACAATATTTACCAGAAACTGGAGAATAAAAGGAATATGAGACTCATGAGGCTGCAAGCTTTTGTCAAGAATTGCTCCTCCCTGTAGCATGGAATGGGCCTCATCATAAGTACATTTCTCTTCTGTCTAAGTATAATAATTCATATAGAAAAGAGTGCAACGGCAAGGGGAAATTATTATCAGGAGGAAGGAGGATACCAGAAGAAGACTAGCAGCACGAGTCACATCATGTGGGTAGTAGCTATTCTATTGTTAAGGAGTCACAAGAGAATAATCCAGAAAACTAAAAAAGTAATGTTGCTACAAAATGACAACCAATAATACATGAAATAGGATACAGGTATATCTTGACAAACATCTCCTCGGACGCATGGTAGCCATAAAACCGCTTTGCTCGCACAAGAGTGCATCCATGCACATGCTGCCTTTTCGAACCCGCATTACCTTTATGCTGTGATGTCAAACCACATATACATGTGAATCACATCTCAAAGCGCCAACACCATTCACAGCTACAAAAAGAAATTCAAATCCACTAGCAAGAGGGAGCCAGTAAGCTTACCTTCAAGGCCTTCTCAAAGGCAAGAGATATGGCGCTTATATATGCATCCCCTAAACCGAAAGAAGCAACGTAAAGCTTTCACCCGTTGGAATATTTTAGAATGGTCTGAATTTGGCAAAGCAATGTTCAGTGAGCTTCATACCTTCTAGCCGTGGATCAAGTGGGATATCGGAACAAGGGACGTATAAATAGGGAAAAGCCTACACAATTGAGACGCAATAAATCATTCTTTGTCATAATCAAGAGAAAAATGAACTAGGATTCCATTATTCAAAGAAGAACAACAAATCGAAAACTCTGTAAACAGGAACCAGAAGTGGGTAGCTCTATTTACGCCATGAATGTGCAAGCAGGTCTTCTGTCCTGCTGGAGTTGAGCCATAAACGCGTATAACTGGAACCTCGTTCACTTTCCCGCCTTTACCACATACACACAAAAAAACTCAAAATTTAACAGATTGAACTTCAGAACAACAAGACTACTACTGTTTGGTTTCCGGGAAAATCCAGAGGAACCAAGAGACGGAAATGAGGAGCACTCAATTAAAACGAGTCACGAAGACTCCGTCCCATACCTTGAAAGCTACTGTAGCAGATATCGACTCCAGGGAGAGGCGAGGACATATAGTAATCGATTGACACGATTCGGACGCTGAAGACTCTGGAATTCGACTGTGAATTCGCCATGGATCTCTAGATTCGGATAATTTGGAGTGTTTTTGCATTTGGCGCCACTTGTTGTGGGCGAGATACTAGAGACTAGAGACTAGAGAGTATGAGATACAGAGAATGGAGAAAGACAAAAGACGGAAGAAAAAGCTTTCTCCGGAACCATAGTTAGTAAAATACGGTACGGGAAAGTTACGTATAAAATACGTACGGGTATTTTACTTCGTTTCTATGCTAATGTTACGTTTAATAGTACGTTAATTGTCATAAATATATAAAATTTATTATTTTAAAAATAAATAAATATATAAATAATGGTAAAGTTCGTAATTTGATTCATTAAATACGGATATTAAACGTATTATACGGGTATTAAACGTGTTTAATACGGGAGCCATCAAATGAACGGTCAAACAAGAAACGACTTGACAATAATACGGATACGAAAGTTTTAAACGGATAAAGTACGTACGAGTACATATACGTGTATTAAACGGAGTATTTACTAACTATGTCCGGAACTCTTCCTTTTGTTTTTTGGTAAATACAATATAATAGCCAAACCTTTCGCCTTTAAACAAAATAATAGCCAAACCTTTTCAAAAACAATTTAATAGCCAAATTGTCAAATTTCCGTCTAGTCAACAGTTAGTTGACTGTGATGTGGCCAATACATGCTGACATGGCTGAAAGTCAATAATTTGACTTGCCACATAGATATATATAAATTTTATTAACTAAATTTTATTATTAAAAAATATAATAACATTAAAATACCTACTCTTTTATCCCTTCCCCCTTCTCCATCTAAGAACAAGAATTCTCATGACCCCTAAATTATTCCCTCCTCCACCATTTTAATTTAGCTCTTGGATTGTGGTTCCTGGATTACGGCGAAAAAAATTAGGGTTGGAGGAAGTTCTGAAATTGGGGCTTTCCCCTACCCTCCGCCGCTCCCAATCACCATTAATATCAGCGCCATCATCCCGAATCCTGCCTCCATGTTCAACCTCAGTGCCGCCATCGATATCGACGGTGGAAGAGTACGGGCCCTGGTGCCTCGTGAGGCCGGCGGTGGTGGTGGTTCTGCAGGGAAAGGGATGGCGGTGACGGACCGACTGGAGGGCGGGGCCCTAGTACTCTCTCAGTCTCTCCTCTTCCCTCTTCCTCTTCCCTCTTCAAAGATCGATTTCAGCCATAAAAGGTTATTAGGGCCAATCACACACGAGATCGGTCAGTGCAAGCCGCTGACTTTTATGGATCTAGTCAAAACCAAATCTCCGGTGAGATTCGTCGGGAGGAAGAAAATTGAAGCGTTTCTTCTTTTTTTATATAAAAAAACTTGAAGTGTTTCAGATCGGCAGAAGCTGCAAGAAGATACTGGGCCAATGTGATGCAGAGGCGGTCGCTAGCTAGCGTTGGGTAGGTGCGGCGTCGTCTCCTTCGCAACAGTTCTGGCCTGGAATCGCACGACCGGGGCTACGCTCCAATTCTCCGACGCTCACATGAGGATGGGAGCGGCGACTTCGGGGTGTCAGTGGTCGAAGGCGCCGGCGGGAGGTTTACCTTCGTTCTGTCTTGCGGGCTTCGCCGAAGAGGGATTTGACGGAGAAGGGAAAGTCGATCGGGTGGATGGTGTTTGTCTGGTTAGAATATAGAGAGAACAAATAAGATTTTACCATTTTCTTTTTTTCTGATTTTATAAATAAACAATTAAGTAAAAATAATATAAATTCCATGTGGCATGTTGGTCCCTTTCAATCATAGCCACATAAGAAAAAAACATCCAGCTCACTTAATTTTTGACACGTCATAGTCAACTAACATTCAAATGGACGGAAAGTTAACGGATTGGTTATTAATTTGTTTTCAAAAAGGTTTGGCTATTATATTGTTTAAAATAAAAGGTTTGGCTATTAAATTGTATTTACCCTTTATTTTTTGTCATTTTTCTCCGGAACTCTTCTCATTTTCAATGTTTTACTGAGGTAGTTGAGCTGGGCCATGCCTATAATAAATTGTTCAGCCCCTATCGGAAGGTTGGACGTGTGGGCCCACTGGCCCAATCTTGGGAAGAATGAATCGATCGGAAATTCGGAATCCCCTAATTGAAGAGCGTTCTCGTTATGATGGCAATGGGTAGGGTTGGGTATGGGTTTACCCTATACCAACTCCTAACCCATCGGGTAGAGCTTTCTAAAATACCTGACCAAATAATTACTGGGTATGAAAATTATATAACCATACCCTACCCACCGGATAACCACGGCTATTCGGGTAACTATTGGGTACGAATCCTAAACTATGAACTTATACACATATATGCATATACATACTGTTGTCCATTAAAAATTCTCAATACTTGTAATCTTTTTAGGTTCAACAATCCACACAAATAAAAACAGCAAACACATAATAATTGTTCTTACTTCTACAATCCACACAAACATAATAATCGTCTACATCTTCATCATCAATAATGGTAGCTAAACTCAATTTCTCAAGCTAAACTAAATTTCTCAAGGGAAATTGACCCTTTGGTTAGCGGGGCGGGTATTATCGATTACCATACCCGTACCCTATCGTTTATTTTGAAACTGGGTATTACCCGTACCCGCCCCTTAACCCGTCAAAGAGGGTAATTAACCTCGTTGACCGGTTACGGTCGGGTAGGGTACCCATGGTTACGGGTTGGATTAACATCCCTAGTTCTCATATAGTTCATGTATTTTGGAAATCATGTAATCTTTGTTAAAGCTTAAAAAGCATAAGTTTGGTACCTATATGGTCTTTAAAAACTTGACAATTCAACATATTTGAATAAATTAGGGTTAATTCCCAAAATAATGTTATTTTTTTTATTTACCACCAATATGGTGGTTTTAAATATAATGACACAGATATTGTGTTTTTGTGGGCAAACAGACGCGGGCTCGCAGGAGACTCATTTAAAAGCGGATCCAAAGTGGACTTATGTGGACCCGCAGCAGATTCATGCGAGTTCGCATAAGAAAGGAGGAACCGTGCCAGACTTATGTGGACCCGCAGCAGACTCATGCGACCCCCTCCTCTCGCGGTCCTCTCGCCAGAAACCCATCATCGCCCAACCCCCATCGCCGACCGCCACAAAACCGGAAAATCCAACGCGGGCTCGTCCCGGACTCGCGCGGAAACGACCGAGAGTCATGAGGAAGCGCAAGAGTGAAGAGCGGCCGAACAAAACCAGATCTGGGTTTTTCTGGTTTTGATGTCGGACTCCGATGAAGAACAGGCGGCCGCCGGAGGAAGAGGTCGTGGAAGAGGAAAGCAAGCACGCGGTCGGTACCGAGGTGAGCGATTCATCGGTAGGAAAGTCGTCGCCGGCCACCGGGAAGTCGCCGTCGGCCACCGGAAAGTCGTCGCCGGCGACCGAAAACTCGCTGCCGGCGGGTTTTTCTTTTCTGCTTCTTTTTTTTTCGGCTCCTAAGATTCTTGACAGGCATTCCACGAGACGACCACCTGCGACGATAGATACAGCTCCGGTCGATTCAGTACTCCTTTGGGCACATGGTCAACATCGTGCCGACTCAGTTTGGATTAACGAGGTAAGTATTTTATGTATTTTATTTCATTAAAGTTCATTAGCTAGTTAGATTAGAATTTTGTGAAATTAGTATTAGTTTGATTAGATATATTTTACTAAATTAGATTGATTTTACTAGGTAAATTGAAATATTATAATTGCATGTGAAATTAGTATTAGTTTTCATTACATATATTTTTAGTAAATTAGATAGATTGTACAATATGTTCTGAAAATAGAATTACGCCATGAAATTGAATTCATATAAGTTTTGTACACTATAGGCTGGTGATCGTGTTTACCAGACTCGAGGTACGACCAAATTGGTCACGTACCATCCACGTTATGAGTCGTATCTCCAGGATGCCGGTTTGTTTAGCGTTCAGCAGTTGGTCCCTATGACTGGTTGTATAGATGCACATTTGATCACCGTTCTAGTAGAGCGTTGGCGTCCTGAGACATCGACATTTCAAATGCCGGTCGGTGAGGTTACGATCACTCTTGAGGACGTTGCCACACTGAGCGGTTTACCGATCGACGGTGAGGCCGTCATAGTAGACGTACCAGATCGTGAGTGGTCGGAGACGTGTACCAGACTGTTAGGACATGCTCCTAACGATCTTAGCGGAGGTGTCGTTAGGCTTAGTTGGCTTAGGGACCATTTCAACAATCTGCCGCCAAATGCATCAGCAGAGATTACAGGCCAGTTTGCACGAGCGTATGCCCTATCTTTGTTCCCCGATCGGACTGGAGCTACAATTCACCTGCAGAATCTACTCCTGTTGGAGAATTGGCGGATCGCAGGAGGCTACGCTTGGGGAGCAGCTGTTCTAGCCTACCTGTACCATGAGATGGGTAGGTCGGTTCTGCATATGACGCAGTCCTCTTCCATCGGAGGTGACCTTGGTGGCTGGGTCGCCTTGCTGCAGCTCTGGGCGTGGGAGCGATTCCCATTGATAGCACCCCGACATACAGTGACGGATGAGCCTGTTACATCGGACGCATCTCCACGTGGTGCTCGACGGCTTCCGACCATGACCCGTCAGCATGGTGACCAGCTCTTCAGTTATAAGTTGTTTTTTGACGAGCTGGAGACGATCGTGGTTAGTAATAACATTTCATACAAGAATAGTTTTTGGTTCACATTAGTTTGTTTTAGACTAAGTTAATGTGCCCACCTTTCTGTGTAGTGGCTGCCTTACTGGGAGAGAGACCTGCAGTTTAGGGGTTCCGTTCCCCAGTCAGATACCTTCCGAGCAGTGGTTCCACTTATCTGCTTTTCAGTAGTGATGTGGCACCATCCAGATCGGGTACTCCGACAGTTTGGCATGATGCAGAACGAGTCCCATCATCCAGCTCCTGGGGCTGAGATTAGGTGGTTTCTTCGCCAGACAGCTCGTGGGCCATCGCGAGGGCAGCGGTCGATGCACGCCTCCAGAGAGTCGATTGATTTGTG